GGTGTGTCAGCGGCGTCGCTATTCTAGTTACCACGACAACTGGGTTCCCCCCGGTGCTTCTCTACCGTATTACAGGGCACCCTGGGTCCCTGGTCCACTCCTCCGGTTGAGGCACTGCGGTGTCCAGGGAGAAAGCGCCTTGCCCAGAGTAGTCCCAGCGTCGGGTGCAAGAAAACCTGACCTATAAACTGGATAGGAAGAGCCAGTCATTAGAGACTATCCCCTAGGGGCTCAGCGGTTAATAGCCCTTAGTATTCTTGCGAGGACCTGGGTTCGGTTCCCAGCACCCACATGGGGGTTAACAACCGTCCATAGCTATTCCAGAGGCTCCAACGCCCTGTCCTGGCTTTCCTGGGCATTCTATAAGGTAACATCAAATAACTAATAAAAGGGTAGGGATGTAGTTCAGTTGGTAGAGTGTTTGCCTAGCATGCACAAAACTTTGGGTACCATCTCCAGCACAGTCCACACCTGTAATCCCAGCACTCCAGGAGGTGGAGGCAGGTGGAAGTTAAAGGTCACCTTCAGCCATATAGGGAGTTTGAGGCTAGCCTAGGCTATGAGACTCTGCCTCAAAACAAAACAAAACAAACAACAACAAAACTATGGGCTGTACATAAAGGTGTGGTGATGCAGGCTTTTAATCCCAGCACTTGGGAGGCAAAGGCAGATAGATGTCTGTGAGTCAAGGACAGCCTGGTCTACATATCAAGTTCCAGGCCAGCCAGGGCTATGTAGTGAGACCCTGTCTTATGCCTCAGTGGATAAGGAAAAGAGCTTGCTGGACACAAACCTGATGACCTGAGTTTGATCCTCAGGATTCACATGGTAGAAAGAGAACCAACTCTAGGAAGTTATGCTTTTTTTTTCTTTTTTAATCTCTTTGAGACAGGGTCTCCCTGTAGCCCCAGCTGGCCTGGAACTCACTATGTAGACCAGGCTGGCCTTGAACTCACAGAGATCTTCCTGTCTCTGCCTCCCGAGTCCTGGGACTAAAGATGTGCACCACCACACCCAGCCAAAAAAATTTTTAAAACTTTTATTCATTATTTTTATGTGTATGGATATATTGCCTGCATGTGTGTAAGTGCACCCATATCGTGCAATCCCTGCAGAGGTCAGAAGAAGGCGTCAGATCCCCTGGAACGGGAGTTACGGACAGTTGCTAGCTGCCATGTGGGTGCTGAGACTCAAACCTGGGTTCTCTGAAAGAGCAGCCAGTGCTCTTAACTGCTGAGCCATCTCTCCAGCCCCTAGAAAGTTATCAATTGACTTACACACACACACACACACACACACACACACACACACACACACACATACATGCACATACATACATACACACACCAAAACCAATGTAATAGGGAAGTATGACTGTACTTCACTCATGTACCAATAGGAGGTAGAAATTATAAAAAGAGCCGGGCGTGGTGGTGCACACCTTTAATTCCAACACTCGGGAGGCAGAGGCAGGCAGATCTCTGAGTTCAAGACCGGCCTGGTTTACATAGTGAGTTCTAGGACAGCTGGGGCTACAGAGAGACCTTGTCTCAAAAAGATGCCCCCCCAAAAATTATAAAAAGAAACAGATAGAAATTCTGAAACTGAATGAGGCTCAACAGGATAAGATTGCCTATTAATAGTGCTGACTTCAGCTAGGTAACACAGCTCTGCGAAGGCCTTTGGGTCCACAGTGCCCTCATCATCACCACAGCACCAGAATGCCAAGAGGGAGGTTGGCACCGGAGTAGTGTTGAAGGAGGAGCCCAAGCACAGATCTATCTGTGAGGTGGTCAGTGAAACTCTCTCCTGCCAAAGTGGAAACCAAGCCAAAAAAGGCCGCAGGAAAGGATATATCTTCAGATAAAAAAGTGCAAACAAGAGGGAAGAGGGGAGCTAAGGGAGAACAGGGTAAAATGCTTAACTCAGAAACCAAAACTCTGCCAGCAGAAAACTGTGAGTCTAAAAAGGAGAGCCTGTCCTCTGACCAACTAGAAGAAAAAGGATTCAAATACAACTGATCCTGCATCATGTCCCTCAGTGCTCTCTTCTGCAATCCAGAGGAATTTTTTCTTTTTTTTTCTTTTTTTGGATACATGATCTCCTTGTAGCCCCAGACGGCCTGGAACTCTCTGTGTAGATAAGGCTGGCCTCAATCTCACAGAAATCAGCCTGCCTCTGCCTCCCAAGTGCTGGAACTAAAGTCGTGTGCCACCATGCCCAGCTAAATGTGACAAGTTTAGTAGCTTGGGAAACACTTCAAAATAGGGGAAAACCCCACTCATCTAATTTTTTTTTAAGTGTAAATGATTTTAGAAAAATTTTTGAGATGTTTTGTGGCCCTGGAACTTGCTATGTAGACCAAGCTGGCCTCAAACTCATGGAGATCTGCCTGTCTCTGCCTCCTGAGTGCCAGGATTAAAGGTGTATGCCATTATCCCTGACAGTAGATTTTTTTTTTTTTTGGTCTTTTTGAGACAGGGTTGCCCTGTAGCCCCAGCTGTCCTGGAACCTGGAACTCCCTATTTAGACCCAGCTGCCCTTGAACTCACAGGGATTCCCCTGCCTCTGCCTCCCTCCCTAGTGCTGGGATTAAAGGCGTGTGCCACCACGCCCGCCCGGCTAGAGTTCTAATTTTACAAAGCTCTTGAGAGGACCAACCCCAGCAGTGGGACAACACTGCCATCTCCAGGTCTACATTAGCAGAAGGACGTAATTGCTACATTTCCACTCTGGGAAAAGCTCTTCCTGTAGCCCCAAGGCTAGCCTGGAACTCCCTAGGCAGCTCAGGCTGACCTCTTATCTCTGCCTCTGGAGTTCTGGGATTAAAGTGAAGCCACTCCCCCTCTCCCCACCGCTTTTCAAATTTTAACTTAATTTGTGCAGGAGTTTATATATATACATAGAGAACCCTGGCCATCAACTCAAAAGAAGGTATCACTTGTCTGGCATTGTTGGTTGTTATGTAGCCTTTAGCTATACATATGGACTCATGAAATTATATTGGCCCCTTTAATCTTTGGTTATACTTTCCTTTTGGGTGTTTAAGTCCATACAGTCAGACCAGATAAACCAATTTCTTTTTACTTTTAAGGTCATTTGAGGATCTGTTCCTCAGGGGTCCATGGGTTTGGGAGGAGCCCCTGGCTTAATCAGATACATATAGATTAGAGATGCATGCGCCAACATCTCAGTGTTAGTAGGAAAACAATGAGTCTTTCTGCAAGGAACAATATATTTTAAAATGAAATGGAGATCTTTTTTAAAGGTTAAAACCTCATTCAATTTTATGTCTTACAGGGCTTATACT